AATGTCGAGATATCGGAGCGATTGGATTTAATTCCTAATATCACACGTGGGACAAAGGTTGGTGACCAAAAGCTTTCAAGATTCGATCCAACCTATAATTGAACGACGAAAAGCATTTTTTGAGAGTTACCATATTGTCATACGAATCTCATTCTTCACAAATTGGATGTAATGTATATTGAGCATAATATTTTCAAAATATATTCAACATGATAGATGTTCTGAGGAAGACTAAAGACAATATCAAGACTCGTCAAAAATTTTAAGGTGTGTTGCAAGCGATCAGAATTGCAATTAATTGTGAATAATTGTAAACTTTATAAACTGAAAGCCTCTTACACTTTGACTAAGGAGAAAAAGATAGCTGTGTGTGCTTGAGTGAAATAGTTATGCATTCCAAATGACTTCGCCTTTAACATAGCAAAGTGTGTTAATGAACATGACTACAAATTTATAAGATGAAAAGTCATGATTGTCACATTTTCATGCATCGTTTACTCCTAATTGCCTTCTGTGATAGGGTTCTTCATGCTATTTGGAGTGCAATTATTGAGATGTCACATTTCTTCCATGATTTATGTGCAACCGAACTATGTTGATCATATGAATGCATTGGAAGGAAAAATCATGAAAACTATATGCAAATTGGAAAAGATTTTTCCCTCGGCCGTTTTGGACTTAATAGAGCTTTGTGAATTCACTTGGCATATGAAGCAAAGGTTGGAAGACTGGTACATTATTAATGGATGTATGTTTTTTAAAGGTATTGCGAGCCATTTTGGTTTACAATTTATTTTAAATTTAGCTTGAAATATCGTTTTCATAGGTATTATAATTGATATCATGTTGCTTTTTAGGTTCTTGCAACATCTAAAAAAAAAGGTGAAAAGTCAAGCACCTATGAAAGGATCCATTTACGAAGTATATATCATCAAGGAAATATCATCGTTTTGCTCAATATATTTTGAACCTATAGTCCCAACAAGAATAAACCAAGTCCCACAAAATGATGATGGAAGAGATGTAAAGGCATCCAGTTGCCTTTCAATTGTCACCCATCTCGATCAACCCTTAGGTCAATTTGAGAAGTGTCGGTTCCTAGAAAAGAATGAGTTTGATGCTATAGAGCTTTGTGTACTAATGAATTGCGAGGAGATATTACCGTACATTGAGTAAGTTTAACATTAATTTTAAGTTTAGAAAATGGTGAAAAGAGAATGTTATTGATTCACTATATGTTCCTTCAATCTTTAAAATGTTCGATGATATGGTGAAAAAAGAACAATATGATACTTTCGAAAAAGAATTAGACTTACCATTTCGAAATGGGTCTTGACTAGGAATGTAAACAAAGTACTTGCTTTATTTAAGGTACCTTACCCATAATCCATTTAATTATGAAGGTACCCGAACCCTATTAAAATCCAAATAAAATCACAAAACACTATCCAAAACCAATCCCCAATAATATAGCATTATCTGTTAATTACTCAAATCCATTAAATACTCAATTAAATAACTTAAATAACTAAAAATTATAAAAAAATTAATTTTATATGTATTAATTTCAAAAAAGGATGTTGGTTATGATGACAATGGTTGTGTTAAAGGTAAAGAGGATAAAGGTTTGAATCTCACAAATTATAAATTTTTGAAATACTATGTATATAATATTAATACATATATATATAATCGGGTTCGGGTTCGGGTTTAGAGTATGATAAGGGTGATACCGAAACCTACCTAAACCCGAGTTTGGTATTAAGAGTCTTACCCGAATCCACTCCATAACTGAATATAAGATACCCGAACCCTATGTTATCGAGTTAGGTACTCACAATACTTATATAACAACAAGCCATATACATCCCTACTTTAGACAATATGTAAGTTATCTTTAATCAATCTATTTGAATGTGTTAAAGTAACACTTCAAATAATTATATGGCATGTCCCTTTTAGTAGGTCTCCAAACATGTGAATTCTCATCTGGTTGACACGTCTTACAATCGTAGTCTTATGATGAGGTATTACAAAGGTTACTATGCAAATGGATACAAGTTCCATACAATGGGCTATGAAGAAAATTGTAAGACAATGACCAATGGTGTCTACATCAAAGGAAAATGCTATAATTATTACGATTGTGTTACAGATTGTTGATCGATATCATTAAGTTAGAATAATTTGGTGTAAACAATTTAGTAGTTTTGTTTAAATGTCATTAGTTTGACATCAAAAAAGGTCTTACAGTTGATTCATTTCAGGGTTGGTCAAAATTAGACAACTTAATTCTTATTGCTAATGAGCCTTTTGTTTTAGCTGAACAAACTACTCAAGTTTGCTATAGTCCATATCTAATAAACAAAAAAGATTGATGTGATTTGTGGGCAGTATTTAAAATGAAGGCTCAAAGTCAATTTGACATTATGGACAATGAGCAAGGTGATAAAAAAACAATCGATTTGAATAAAGGGATGTATCAAGAAGATGAAGTTTCGTTAAATACAAGATTTGGTCATAATTCACATGACTTTGACAATAATATAATTTTGATTAGTGGTGCATATGAAAAGATTAATACGTTTGTTGAGGTCTAACATAGTGAGGAAAATGAAAGAGTTGAAATAAAAGAAAAAAATACAGAGGAATATACCAATGAAAACGATGAGGACAAAGATAAGAATGAAGATGATGAGTTCGCATGTTCAAATGGTGATTAATGATTAGTATTTTTTTTAATTGATGTAAAGATTTTGACATTTAAACTTTTTTATTATGATTCATTTACATATGTCATTTTGATTGGAATTCTTATTTTTCAACATTATTCTTAATTTCATATGAATACATTGTTCAAAGATTATGCATTACATTTTTTGATAGTTAATATTAATGGATTATCTTTTTTGTTGACAGATTATTGCACAATGGTTAAATTAAAACTACTGTCGGTTGTTAAGGACAGTCAAGTGGCGTAGATACTACAGCTGCACAACCTCTAGCGCCATGTCCATTGACCATGACATTGATACCACCTCTATCCTTTGCACCACCAAAATCCACTCTGACATCCACAACCACGACTGCTCCAGTCGCTCCACTAAAAGCATCACCACCTCCTATTACGATGTCAGGGGTCAGTACCTCTGCTGCTTCATATCATAGTTTGTCAAACTCTACACTACAGCCTAAAGGTAGAGGACCCAATATAGGTCCTTTACATGGGCAACTACAAATGTTTCGATAGTCTGCAAGATAAGGGAGAAAATTTGCAAAAACTGGTTGAAAGATTTGTTAGAAGATGAGCATAACAAAGTCGAAAGGAAAAACGTACCCCTAGATCACTGTAGAAATCTAGGACCAACTCGTTGGTAATATCTAAGGCACAGAAAAGTGGCAGTGCCAATCCTAGAAAGCGTAGGAGAACCACTTGACAGAGAAATAAAGCAGCATAACAAAACACACAAGCATCATAGCAACATGTTCTTTCCTCATATTAGGAAAATGTGAGTCTTTTGTTGTTATTGTTGTGTTATTCAAGATTTCAAAAACATGCATATTTGTGATGATGTGTTTGTTGTTTTTGTGATTGTGTTATTTGTTGTCAATGTTTTGCGATGTAAAAGCATGTTGTTGTTGCTACTGCGTTGTTTAAGATAGTGAAAACATGTATATTTGTGATGATGCGTTTGTTGTGATGATGCGTTTGTTGTGATTGCAATCAGAGGTGCTACAAAGACTAGTGACATTCTTTAAGCTCTTCGAGTGTATTCATAAGCGACCAAAGGATATCAGAGAGTTTGTGGACAATAAGTTGAAAACTGTGAGTGTAAATAATAAAAATGATTTAATTTATGTTCATTATAAAATTTTGTGTGTATGTTACTTAACAATTTAATTAATATTTAATTTCATTTTTTATTTGTAGGAACCATCTACTTCTGCTTTATTGCAAAAAGTACAGTCATGATCCATCATCTTAGTTGGAATTTGATCGAACAGCATGGTTGAAGGCTATTAGAGAAGTGCAAACGACTCTAACCCACATCTATAGGTTTGGCACCAAGACGTCAACTACTAAACTACTTGCTCCAATAACGAAGTTTAAGGCTACTTGTGGTCCAACCCTTTCTAGTGATGTTGCATGAGCTCCTCCTTGTGAACCTAAGGACTACCAAGAAATGAAGGCAAATGTTAAAGAGTTGAAGACTAAAATGTTGGATATTAAGTCAAGCATCAAGCTACTCCTTGAGAGGATTCCACCTCCATCTGGATCCGGGTATTCATCATAGCAGCTGGAGCCACAACCACAACCATAGCTGCCCCCTTCTAATCATGCAAAGGAGGCATGGCCGAGAGACAATGGTCGACAATAATTCCTTTGTTTGTAATAGGAATTCCTTGTATGGATTTTTAGATGGATTTTGGCATTACTATGCATTTTTCATTCTTATAAACTTCAAATATAATTTCTATTATTTTTTCATATTATAATAAATTTTAAATATTTTAATACTATTAGTTATGTGTATTGATTTGACATGCAAACAAGGAATACAAGAAATACAATTTTTTTTAAAAAAATCAGTTTAATCAATATTACTGATGGAAATATTAAGGAATTATGTGCAATACCAACAGAATTGAATACATATTTACCGATAGATTGGAGGTTATTACCGACGAATTTATTCGCTTTACCAACAGAATGTGTTTGTTAGGATCTATCAAAAAATCCATCGTCTAATCAGTCAAAAATTTACTAACGGATGTTCCAACTAAAACAATTCCGTCAGAGATTTATACCAACAAAATTTATCAATTGAATTGTTGTATCACAAACCACTCCTCCGATCAATGAATTGGCTACTTTCTTGACGGAATCTTTCTGTCAAAAAATATACTGACGAAATTGCTATTACCAACGAGGCAATTTCCTATCACGCTCTAGTAAAATATTTTGTCAGTAATTCTGTCAATAAATTATAATACCGATAGATTGTAAGGAGTTGCGGATAAAATTTTCTCAATAAATGTCTGTTTTTTATAATGGGTGATGTTGTGTCCTGTTATTTTACAAGCAAAATTAAATTCCATTTCTTTGAAAACATGAACATCCTTCCAAATTATTTATATGGTGTTATGAGTAGTGTCCCCCTTCCCAAAGAGATTAAGCACCGGTACGCCTGGCAGGGCCGGAACAGGCAGGCGGGTTCTGTTTGCCAGAAAGTCTGGGTTTGACATTGATACATTGGGATACTGCAGGTCCTCCAGGTCCTTTGTAGGTGATGTCAATATCGCCAAGTTCCACACGATCGCATGGCACCCCGCGGCTGCAAACAAGCTTGACAACTTGCGGAGTTGAAGAAGTGCCCCGAATTTTCTTGAAGCTAATGTTGCTGAGTTTAACACGCGATGGAACCTGGATAGACAAAAATTATGGTTTAAGGTGTGTAAACTTAAATAGTGAGAAACCTTTTTCACTTGATCAGGATTTTTATAGTGTACGTACCTTTAAATTGCATAGGTTCCATGGGCAGTATTCTTGATCAATGAGGATAGGATTGCCGACGTTATTCAAGATAATATCCTCAAAATGCATATCTGTTGCTGAGCCAGGCTGGGAGTCTGGCCAACTTTTGACCCTAACACCATTCATTGTATTACTGATGGTGCAATTCCTGATAAAAATTCCACTCACTGGTTCTTCACCCTTGAACTTTCCAAGACTCCCCACACTGATTCCATGCCCTGGTCCGCAGGTTACTCTCTCGACGATCACGTTCTTGCTACCATCACCCAAGGAGACACAATCATCACCGGTTTTAATGTTTGTGTCAAGAATCTTGACCCCATTCGATCGCCCAATGTGGATTCCATCCGTGTTTATGCTGTTTTCAGGAGCGGAGACGGTGAAATGTTGGAAGGTAAAGTTTTGACATCCCAAAACATTAACGTGGAACTGTTTGCTGTCCTTGGTAGTTATGCCTTGTACAATGGCGTTGCTGACGAAATTGAACCTTAAATTCTGGTTATTATTGTCACGAGAACTAAATGTCGTTAGAGACACTCATTTTTTATTGTTCTAATCAAAGGGTTAAAATGCAATACTCAATATGCTAGCCAGGAATCTGCAGAATGTCATATTGAACACATATCCATGGCTCCTGATTATATATAAACAAAAGCTTTTAAATTCTTCAGAAGTCTAAGCTACAAGTATATGAGATTATCGAAAGAAAATTTTTGAGCAATGCTTCTTTATAATTTGAAGAATCACTTAACGTAAAGAGTAGTTCACTTGAATTTCAAAAGCAGAAAGATAAAAAATCTTACAACGGGAAGTGCGGCGCAATATTTGTTCTTAGCACAATTGTTCTTGCCCCAAACAGCGGCTCCTTGGCCATCAAAAACTCCACCGCCAGATATTGTAAGATGATCAACGTGGTTGAAGACAACCCAATTAGGGTCCTTGAAAGCGCTAGGATCTGCCGGAGCCTTTATGGTGCCACTAACCTGAAGTTCAATAGCTGATTTGCAAGGACCATCCAGGTTTGCTCTGCTTAATCTGTACGTCCCTTTCGGAATTACAATCTTACTTGGAGTTGTCGATGCACATGCTTCTTTCCAAGCATTCAGCAAAGGCTACGAGACAAAAACCGAAAGCCAAAAGCTAAAAATAAAACTTGTTTATCATTTCACGACAAAATGAAGTTTTCTATATAGCTGCATTTTGCTTACAGTGCTCAAATCCGTCCTTTCGTCAGCCTTTGCGCCATACTTGGCAACTACATCAACAACGGTAGATTGGGCTTTAGGGATTGGAGTACTGAACAAAAGTAATAATATTGATAGAACTGCAACATTCAACTGTACAGCCATGCTTTTCCGTTTCAAATATCTATATTGAATTTTAGTGCAGAGATGGCATTCTCTATCGTTTCAAACCATTTATATAGAGTTTTTGGGAGAGCGACAACCACTAGAATTTTCAACCAAATGCATTCTAATTTTATCTATGGCGGAGATGAAGTTCTAGCTGTTTTCCTTCCTATTATTAGCTTTCCTCTTTTTCGCGTAATCACTGGCTCAGGGTACTCTGTTGCTTGCGGTTTGCCACACAGTTTAACCTATACTCGAAATATGCCAGCGCTTTGTTAACAACCTTAGTTCTCATTGGGAAAAATAATTAATGTTAAGGATGTATTACTTGGAAACGACAACTCCTAAATTAGACATGATTTCATATAGCAACTTTGATAAAAAAAAAATAAAATAAATAGTAATTAAATATATAATTATAATTTATGTAAATGCTATTAGATTTTATTTGTTTAGCGTAAAGATTCTATTTCTGTTTATTATTTCTCCCCCATGGCTGCCTTAAGCTTCCTTTCTATCTCTTGTTTTCTCCTGAATTTAAAAAAAAAATTGTAAAATCGAAAGAAACTATCACTACAAAGAAACAAACCATTATCGACGAATTACCGACAAAACCTAGTTATAATGAATTTCGATGGATTACTGACAGAGTACACCAACAAAATATAATCCGTCAGTAAAACAATGGCACAAAACGTGGGGTGATGGCACGAAGTTTACCGCCAAAATATTTCCATTGGTAATGACTTTGTGGACAAAGTTTTCCAACCACCTTAGTTACGAATTTGTTGGTCAAAAAAGTGGTCAAGTTGCCAATCGAACCGTTGATCAAAATTTTGTCGGTAATGGTGTTGAAAATTTTATAAGATTACCAATGGAATGACCGATGAAAATTTCGTCTGTAATTTTTTTAATTATTGTCAAAAAATTCTGTCAATAATCAAAATTAAAATACCACAGTGGGACTTCTTTCCCCTATTTCTCACTTCTCTCTTCTCCCTCAATTCTCTTTCTCTCTATCGCAATTGCCTTCCGCCCCACCGGAGCATTAGCTACCTTCCGACCCAACCCTTCTTCCCTCCACCTGTCCATTTCTCCTTCTCCTTCAGCCTTCGTTTTCCCGTTCCAGCCAAGATCCGGCCGCCCAACTTCCCGTTTGATTCTCCCCATTTTTTGCTTTGGCCAATCATGCGTTTCGGTATCCCAGACAATAAGACTTCTGGTATTTTGTTTTCGTTGTTTAGGGTTTTAATTTAAAAACATTTTGTAGTTAGTTTAGGGTTTGATTTGTTCATATATCGATTTAGGTATTTGTGTATTCTGTTCTGGTAGATTTGCTAGTTGGTGTATACTGTTGATTTGTTGATTTTGTGACTGATTTGGATGTTGATTTGGCTTGTTGGCAGTTGATGTTTTGCTGTTGATAGAGAAAATCTAATTGATAAAATGTTGGTTTAGTTAGTTTTTCATTAAAAATTAGTAACTATTTTTTAGTAATTAATTAAGTAACCTTTAGTGATTAAGCAAATATTTAAGTTAATAGAATTAACTTTTAGTAATCAAATGTAATTAAGAAAATTAATCAAATGTTTTAGTAATCTAAATTAATTAGGTGTTGGATTTTCTATTTGAGATAATTTAACTAATCAAATGGAAAATTGTTTTAGTAATTAAACAATTAACTAAATTAGTAATATTATTTAATTTAAATAATATTTAAACTAATTAAGGCGTTAATGAGTTAATTAAATAATTAAGTTAATAAAGCAATGTAATGTATTATAATTAATTAAGCAATAAATTAAATGAGTAATATTATATAATATTTTATTTGTTTAAAATAATAAAGTGTTTCAGGAATTAATTAAAATTTTTAACTTATTTAAACAAATGAAGATGTTGAATGAGTTAGTTAAATAATTTAGTTAATTAAGGTATGTAATGTGTTGTAAGTATTTAAGTAATTAATTAAGTTAGTAATATTATATAATAATTTATTTATGGTTTTTTAGTTAAGGGGCTTAGGGAATTGATTACATAACTTACCCTAATTATGGAGAACCATGTATTAGTTATTAATCAATTACAAATGTATTAGTAAATTTAGTAAAATTTAAAAGTATTTAAATTAATTAAGGTTTTATTAAAATAATTAAATAATTTAACTAATCAAATGAAAATATGTTCTAGTAATTAAGCAATTAACTAAATTATTATTATTTAATTTTAAAAATATTTAAATAAATGAAGGTGTTAAATGGGTTAATTAAATAATTTAGTTAATGCGGAGCAGAAGAGGGCTGAA